CCCCAAAACCCCAAAACCCCAAAACCCCAAAACCCCAAAACCCCAAAACCCCAAAACCCCAAGGTAAGAATTTAATATTGTTTTATTAAAATTAGTCAATTCTAATTTGGAAACAGGCCCAAATTTAATCTGCTTATTCAGAGACTGGTATTTCTTCTGGTGCAGCACCGTTAACAGCAGCATTTGGAGCAGCATTTGCAGCAGCATTAACATTGGCATTGGCAGCAGCATTAGCTGGACCATTAACTGCAACATTGACTGGTGCATCAACTGCGCCATCGACTTGAGCGTCAGCTGTAGCATCGACTGGAGCAACTGCGATCGGAGCAGCATCGACTGGAGCAGCAGCATCAACTGGAGCTGCATCAACTGGGGCGGCAGCTGCATCTACTGGGACAGCAGCTGCATCAACTGGAGCTGTAGCAGCATCGACTGGAGCAGCAGCTTCATCGGCTGGAGCGGCAGTAGCATCGGCTGGAGCGGCAGTAGCATCGGCTGGAGCGGCAGTAGCATCGGCTGGAGCTGGAGCACCATCTACTGGAACGGGAGCAGCATCAACTGGAACGGGAGCAGCATCAACTGGAGCTGCTGGTTCAGCATCAACAACTTCATTATCTAATGGAGCTCCTGATAATTGAGCAATCTGTTCATTTATGACATCTTCTACATTTTCTACTTCCTCTAAGTTATCTTCTAAGGTATCTACATCTAGAGTTGGATTTCCATCTTCATCAACTGGAGCCAAATTATCTATGGTTTCAGGCTCTTCTTCAGCTGGCTCTTCTTCAGGTGTTTCTTCAACTGCTTCTTCAGTCTCCTCACTGACTTCTTCTTCGGCTACATCAGCAGCTTCATCAACTTCTTCTACAGCTTCATCAGCAGCATCTTCAGCTTCATCTATTGATTCACTAGCATCCTCAGCTGCAGCTTCAGCATCTTCAACAGAAGCATCAACTTCAGCAGCTTCTTCTTGAACTTCTTCAGCAGTCGCTTCAACCTCAGCTTGGTCTTCAGCAACATCACTTTGAGTTTCCTCAATTTCTTCTTGAGCGTCTTGAACTTCATTCTGAGCTTCATCAATTTCTTGTTGGTCTTCAACAACTTCTTCTTGAGTTTCCTCAATTTCAGCTTGAGTTTCTTGAACTTCAGCTTGAGCTTCTTCGATTTCTTCCTGTTGAGTGGCAACATCATTCATCACATCATTGGTTTCATCAACTTGGGCTTCGACAGCATCAAGTTCTTGTCTATAAAGGAGTTAGTATATCCTAAACTTACTCTAAGTCTTCAATAGCGTCTTGAGTCTCACTAGCACTAGACATGTCCATTTCAGCCATTTGGTCCTCAAGACTGCTAACACTGTCATCCATTTCTTCAAATTGATTTTCAAGATCGTCGAATTCTTCTTGAGTAGCAAATGGGGATCCTTCAGTAGGAATTTCAACAACAACTTCGTTGTCATCTGTAACTTCACTAACATCTGTGTTATCATCAGTCTCTGGAAGTTCTTCTGGGGCAGCTTCTGGGGCAGCTTCTGGGGCAGCTTCTGGGGCAACTCCTGGGGCAACCTCTGGAACAGCTTCTTGAGCAACATCCGAAGCAGCTTCTGGGAGAACTACTGGAGCAGCTTCTTCTGAGGCAGCTTCTTCAGGAACAACTTCCTCAGGAGCAGCTTCTTCAGGAGTAACCTCTTCAATATTGTCATCTTCTACAGGAGCCTCTTCAGCTGGAGTAGGTTCTTCTCCACCTTCAACTTCTTCGACTCCATCGTCTTCTGGTACTTCTTCAGCTGGGATAGGCTCTTCACCACCTTCAACTTCTTCAACTCCATCATCGGCCAAAGCTTCTTCAGCTTGCTCTTCAGCTTCTTCTGGAGCTACACCATCTTCAATAGCTTCCTCAGTTTCTTCTTCAACATCAAGTTCAGATTGTTCTTCATTAACTTCAGCCTCAGTTTCATCAAGATCAGCTTGAGCATCAGCTTCCTCTTCTTGAGCATCAGCAAGATCTTCAGATGAATCTTCAAGTTCATCAGTTGCTTCTTCTACAGCATCTTCGGCATCCTCAATAGCTTCTTCATCTCCTGCAGTAGTAGCTTCTTCAAGAACTTCTTCAGCTTCTTCAACTGCTGCTTGATCTTCGGTAACTTCAGCTTCAGCATTATCAGCAGTCTCTTCAGCAGCATCTACTGCATCTTCAGCCTCGGCAGCATCAGCCTCAGCTTCAGCAACATCTGCTTCAGCTTCTTCAATATCCTCTTGAACTTCTTCTTCAGCTTCAGCTTGGTCTTCAGCTGCTTCAGCTTGGTCTTCAGCTTCCTCAGTTTCTGCTTCAGCTTCCTCAATCATTTCTTGAGCTTCAGAGTCAGCTTCTTCAGAAGAAGCTTCAGCTTCTTCTTGTGCTTCTTCAGCTTCAACGACTACTTCATTAATTTCATCATCTTCTGATGGAGCAGTCTCTTCTCCAGCTCCAGCTTCAACTTCAGCTTCAGCTTCAGCTTCAACTTCGGCTTCAGCAGTTGCTAGATCTTCTCCACCTTCAACATCATCCAGAACCTCTTCAGCAGAATCTACTTCAGCTTCTTGTTCTTCAACATCTTCTTCAACCTCATCTAATTCAGCTTGGGCTTCTTCAACATTATCTTCGGCTTCATTGAGATTATCAACTGTTTCTTCCAAGTTGTCTTCAGCTTGATCAATAGCATCTTGAGCATCCTCAATAGACTCTTGATCTCCTTCATTTTCAGCTTGCTGTAGTTGATCTTCAGCATCTTCCAAAGCTTCTTCATTCTCTTGTACATCATCTTCAGCCTCAACAATTGCCTCTTCAGTAGCAGCTACTTCTTCTTGAGCACTTTCTTCTTCTCCTTGAACTTCTGCAAGCTCGTCTTCGGCTGTACTTACTTCTTGATTAGCCTCATCAGTTTCTTCTTGTTGTTCTTCTTCAGCTTCTTCCTCAGCTTCTTCCTCAGCTTCTTCCTCTGCCTCTTCAGCAGCTTCTTCAGCAGCCTCTTCAGCTTGTTCTTGAGCTTCTTCTGCAGATTCGGTAGCAGTCTCAGCAGCTTCATCCGCATCATCTTGAGCTTCTTCAGCAGCTTCCAAATCATCAGCATCTCCTGTTTGAGCTGCAATTTCAGCTAATACTTCAGCATTTTCTTCAGCATCTTCGGCAGCTTCAACGTCATCTTGAGCATCATTGGCGGCATTAATAGCGTCTTCATTTCCAGATTCTTGAGCCAAGTCGAGAGCAGCTTGAGCGGAATTATCAGCGTCCTCTACTTCAGCATCAGCTTCAGTAATTTCACTTGAAATTTCAGCAGCTTCTGCAGAGTTCTCCTCAGCTTCTTCTTGCTCTTCAGCCTGTTCTAGTTGTGCGTCGACATCGCTCTGAACAATATCTTCTTGTTCAGTTGGTTCATCCTCATCAGCAAAGATTTCGGCAGCGAGATCGTCTGCGTCCTCTTCCTCGGGTTCCTCAGCATTGTCTAAATAAAGTGTTATAATCATAATTTTTGTAAATTTGGTGCATGTTTTCCATTGAAGTGTTAATTCCTTACTTATGAATAACTCGATCTACAAAAACCCTATTTTCAGTGCAAGATAAGATATTAGCATAAGCCTTTACGGCATTAGTTGGGGCGAGGTGGTGTTCCTCATAAACTATCTTAAATAGAACCTTGATACTCAGTTCGAATCTGGAATATATAAGTAAGTCTAATTTTTATGGATGCACCAAATTTTTTACAGGAAATTTTTAAGATTCTCTGTTTCACAGCAAAAAGCATCAGGCAAGAGAGGGACAATAACTAGTGGGTACCATAGGTAAGAACACTTGTTAGGCTAAGCATTGTATAAGTACTACATCATATCTTAAAATCAAGGATACATGAAATGAAAAGGAATGTGAGAAGTAAATCTTTTATAAGAGCTCCCTTGATACCTTTGTAGGTAACTAGATATGTCTACAGAAACATTTTATTTAGTACCAAATCATTTGAAGAGGATAATTCCTTTTAGTTTGTCCAAACTTAATGCTCAAAGAGTTTCGATGGTTTTAATTAAAATTTAGGATCAGAATATTTATTCAAATCAGTGTTTGATTCAAAATTCTCAAATATTTCATTAAACATTAGATTTTAAATACCTAGCACACCATATTGCATTACAGATCAACTCAGAATGTCTTAGGCTAGTACTAGTACATTCAAAGTAACATTCTTAAAGAACTTAGTCCCAAATCCTATCAGCTGCACCAAAAATATGAATGAAAAATAAGCGATAACTTACCATCCTGTTGCAAGCGGGATGGAATTCCCCCATGCAAGGTACTTTGCAGTCTACTCCCACGAGTAGATGTCTGCATCCGAGAAAGATTTCTGTTGGCAGTCTTTATACGAAGTGCATTAGTCACAAGGATCATGCACAAAAGCAGGCATATTAATTTTGTATATCTCATTCAATTATTATTAATTTGGTCGGGGTTTTGGGGTTTTGGGGTTTTGGGGTTTTGGGGTTTTGGGGTTTTGGGGTTTTGGGG